TGATTTTATATTGATTTTGCTTTTAATACAAAAGATTTTAAAAAGAATGACATAATAATTTAAATTAATTTTTTTAATAAAAATTATTCTTTATATTTAATAATTTTTAAATATGATTTTTTTTAAAAAATTATTTAATAAAAAAAATTATTAATTTTAATAAAAAAAATTAAGTGCCTGTTTTTTTGTCCCAAATTATAATATTGATATTTGAATAAAAGCAGCTTCAGAAACACTTATTCTTTTTTATAATCTTATATTAAAACTAAAGTGCAGCACAGTAAACACTTTGTTTTCTATAGGTATAATCTGAAATTAGAATTTTTATCGATCTTATAAGAATTCTTCAATCAAATCTCATAATTATTTTTATCAATTCTCAAATTCCAACTCAAAACCAAAAGACACAACCATAGATCTTTTATCTATTATTATAGATAAATTAATAAATAACAACTTCAATTTATTATCATGTTTAAAAATTTTAATTTCCAATCTTAACTAACTTATTACTAATAATTTTGAATAAGTATTCATGGTTGTTTGATACCTTCTATGATATGTAATGGTTTTAATATTTATTTTCCTTTACTATATAGTAGATTGGTATAAGCAAACTAGCATTAAACTTATTAACTCAATATGTTATATAAGAGATGTTACTTTTGTTATGTAAAAAATCTGAATTTTTTACAATTAATAAAGTATCAATGTTTATCTATAAAAAAAAAAATTAATTTTTGTATTTTTATAGAATTTATAAATAAATTAATCTTTTAAATTTATATTTTTATATTTAAATTGTATATATTATAATTTATCTTAAAAATTCAATTCTAAAATTAAATCCAAATATTTAAATAAAGTTCAAATATTTTTAATTAATATGTTATAAAATATATTTTTTATTGGTTTATTTTTTTAATTATAAATATTTTATTAAATATATTCTAATTTTTTTAATTATGTTTTTCAATTAATTTAACTTTTTACAATTTAATTTTAAATAAATATTTATAAGTATTTAATATTTTTTAATAAAATATATTATTTTAAAAAATTATTTTATATTCTTTAATAATAAAGTTATATATATATATTTAATAATAATTATTTTTAAACCAAAATTTTTTATAATTTTAATAAAAAAACTATAAAATATATCTATAGCAAGAAACTTTTTTTAAAAAAAAAAATTATAAAAAAAAATTTTTTTAACTATATTATCAAAGATTTAAAATTTAAAAAATTTTTTTTAATATTTAAATTTGATATTTTTATTTTTATTTTTATCAAATTAATTTTTAATAATAGAAATATAAATAAAAAATATTTTTTTTTACATGTTTTTTTATATAACATCAAATTTAATAATAACAATAATTTATTAGTTTAGAGTTAAATAGTTTTTAATTAAAATTAGAATTTAAATGTATAATTTTTTTAAAAATAATTTTATTTTAATTTAATAAAAATTTAAGAAAATTATTTATCTACAGTATTTTAAAAATAAGTAAAAAAAAAGAAATTTGAAATTAATTATTGTTAAATAAAACAATAATTCTAAAAGATTATAACTTAAAAAGAATTTATTATTAAATAAACAATATATCTTTTTAATTAAAGTTTTTAAATATTTTTGATTAATAAAATTTTTGAAGAAATTAAATAGCTTAATTAATTACAAATAATAAAAAATAATTTAAAAATATTAAATATTAGATTAATTTTTTTAAATTTAATTAAATTTAATTTAAATATATATACAATATAGTGCAAAAAATTTTAAAATATTATTTATAAAAATAAATATATATAATTTTTTCAAAACAAAAGCAATTTACATGAAATTTTAAATATGTAAACAATATATTTTAAACAATATATATAGGTACTTAAAGTTATTTGATTATTTTATTTTGTTATAAACTTATTCTTACAATGTTATTTTTCAAAAAAAATACTCAATAACAAACTATATTACATTTGTAAATTAATGAAATTACTTCTGCATATGAAATATATTTCAAAACTGATATAAACATATCAACTATCTATTATAATCTCAAAAATTGAAATTAAAAGGCAATAATTTAAGAAAATCTAGTAGTAGTTATTTTAAAAAAATTATAAAACATAAATTAAAAGCAATTGATTAATATTTACATTATAATTTAAGATTTTTCTCAAGAATTTTGATAATTAAAATTACAAAAATAATTTACCTTTAGAAATATCTATACTTATTATTGCTTATAAAGAAGCTTGTATTATTTGAACAAAAAAACATATTGATGATAACTAAAAAAATATATTATTTTTAATGAAATAGCATTTCAACTATTCAAAAATACAATTACTTAATAGTATAAATTATAAGATCAGTTAAAAGAATGCCTAAAAATTGTATTAAAATCTTTATATAAAAAGAATTTTGTACAAAAGAAAAAACTTATCTTTATAGTTTTAAAGAAATTATGAATGTAAAATTTTATATCAAAATTTTACAAAATTATAAATAAAAAATTAATAGATTACTTAAAAACAATTGATTTTTAACAAGATAATAATCCTAAGCATATAAATAAAATTGCTAAAATATTTTTAAATAAAAATTTTTCTAAAATTATTAATTGGTTTTTTTAATAGTCCAAATTTAAATCCCATTAAAAACTTTTGAATTATCATTAAAAAAAAATGTAGAAATGAGATTATCAAAAAATATTTTAGAATTAGAACAATTTATAATAGAAGATTTTGATATGTTTTTTATTAATTTCTATGTAATAGTTTTTTTAGTAATGAATAAATAAAAAATTCAAAAATTTTTTACACCACACTATATATTTTATTTTCAAAATTGCATTATGAAGATATATATATATATTATTTTCAAAACTGTATCATGAAGATATATATGTATAATAACTTTAAAAAATAATATAAATTTTAATTTTTTTTTGAATAAACAGATCTTTTTTTTTTAACTATTTCTAAAATTTTCAATTAATTGTAAATATAAATACACAATAATTTTAATCTTTCTTTAATTTTTGATTTTTCTAATATTTAACAAGTATATAATATTAATATAGTTAAATGAAATAATATACATATATGTGTTGTTTTAAAATTTCTTTTTAATATTAATTAATTGATTTTTATAAACAAGCTAATATTTAATTCATTATATTATATATAAAAAATGTTTTTTTCTCATAATATATTTTATACTGTATTCTACAAATCAAATAAAAAAATATTATTAATTACTTAAATATATATATATATTTTTAAAGAAACTTTGCTTTTCTCAAAATTCTAAATTTCTTGTGATATAAATTATGCGTTTAGTGTCAATATTATAATTTGATAATATAATTTTTTAAAATATAAAAATATGTCGCATTTGGTATAATTATCATAATCATAAACCAATAAATATGATGAAATTTTTGATTTCTTTATTATATTTTAAATTTTTTAAAAAGAAAAATTATTCTAATCGATTTTAAACAAAAAAAATATCCGTGACCATTCGTGTGTGATCGTCAAAATATTTTTCATTAAAGTAACTAAGATTAATAAGATATGTATCTAATATAATATTGGTAAATAGTTGTCTGATCAATGAGTTAGTTTAAGGCAAACACCTTTATCATTGAAAACATACTAAAATAAACCTATATGGAAAAATGACATCAGATCGCATATCCTTAATAGACAACCTTATACTAATCTATCTTGTGTATTTTTTTAGTAATGGCAACGCGGTCACAATTCCTAAGACGTCTATTACTTTTTACAAAATTTATATTTCGTTTTTGTAAAGTCTCTGAGACTGAAGAAAGAAAAACAATTTTAAAGAGCAAGTTTTGAGCACATGGATATCGTGTGAAAGTGCAAATTGCTCAAGATTTTCGTTATGCTACCTAAATTTTATTGCATGAAGTTATCTAAATTTGTACAGAAAATTATATAATACACACGCGTCTTTTTTTAGCATTCTATGCGCGTCCTTTTTGTAACCAGGTTTTCCGCCTTCTCCACCTCATCGTCGGAATCCAATAAAATCACTTCTATATCTTCATATTTTCGTTTACTGAAGGTTTCACCAAACAAACTCGGATTTATTATCTCATCATCATCATCCTGAATGACAATCACAGGTTGAACAGCGCACTCTCGGATTACTTTGCATTTGGTCACGTTTTCTGATTCATCTTTGATATAATTGTCGCCATTTGTGATTGCGGAAGGTCCACGTGTTGTTTGTAGATTGAGGTTGTTGTTCGAATTAAGTGGTGATGTCAAACGAGGGATGTCAAATCCGCGGGCTCTAAGCCAATCCACGGGACGATAGTGAAGGTGTAATACAGCAATTGGATCATCACTCTGTTTCTCCATGGTAGAGATCGGTTGACGGTTTACATATCCTCCTTCCTCTTCGAATGCCGTCGTCATTTTAATATCAACATTGGTTTTCGATTCTGAAACCTGGGCTTGATTCACCGAGAAGGGTGGTATGACAACATTCTTCTGAGGAATGATCCTGGCTTTGTAGAAATAAATTGATATCGCACCTAATCCTCCACATGATTTTTGTTCGGTGAGTTGATTCAGACTAGAGGTGTCGCTCATTTCAGTGACGGCAAATTTGAAATAATATTTTTTGTCGAGTGAATTATTCCAAAAACAATCTTTTTCGCGAAATGATGGTGAAAGTATTTCTCGATAGGTATAATCATATTCACCGTCTACATAAACATAGGCCATCATCGGATTCCACAGACTTGATCTATTTGACGAATAACGAACTACGAATCGTGATCCTGGTTCGCGCACGGCAACATATGTCGTATGATCGCTTGGAAATTGGAAATTTTCATGTGTCAATAATGATGCCCATGAAGAAAAATTTGTATTTTAAAGACAATATACCTGTATTTCTTTTCCTTTGTGTATTCATTACTGATCACATATGATCTGCCGGTGGTAACGCTCTAGTGGTTAAAAAAAAAAAAACGTCAAAAGTCGAAAGGACATCCGTCAAATTTATCATCTTTGGCACTTACACTTGAATTGTCAATCGGAAGACTGTATTCCTCCAATGGTTGTCCATTTACCAAAATCTCAATGCTAAATTCTTCCAAACGCATGTTTTCAAATTGTTTACTCAAGAATTAATTGTCTTACAAGAAGAATGCAAAAAAAAGGAAATCCAGAGTTAGAAAGTTATTTTAAGAGAGATGTTTCGTAAGATATTCTCGGGCATGACAAAAAAGGGATTGAAGTGAGCCAACTCCCACGGAGTTAAAATGAGGTGATAAAAGTGAAATCAGTGTTCTTGCTTGAAGACGCACTTCTCCCTCTTACGGTAGTAATCAAAAAAACCACACGGAAAAAAGATGAAAATGAATGCGATCGCTCTTTTTATGTTCAAATCGGGCTTTCTAATATAATTTTGAAACTTAGATATGCGATCAAATGTGTGCTATGCGAGATGAATGATTTCAAGAAATGATTATTAAGTTATTGATCGATGTGTGTAGTGACTCAAAGGTTTTATGCTTAAAAGAATTGCATCACATAAATCATAATTCCGTGACATTATGTGTGGGACCTGGACTGAGTAATACTCATATTTCATATTGACTATATCCTTTTGTGAAGTAAGCTCCGAAAAGATTATGGAGTTTAGAGAATCCGAAAATTCGGTAAATTTTATTAAATATTAGATGCGTACCTACGTTATTTACTTATGTCAACCCTCACGATAATGTGCGACTGGTATTAAATAATGATATTTTCATTCTATAACCGTTGAATTAACGAAAAAAAATTTTTTTTGATCATAAACGAAATTTTATTAAAGGTGACGAGGAGAATGATTTTTTTGATGTCGGATTTTTTTTTTTAAACAGATACAGCATTTTTGGTCACACAGGGTAAAATCTCGTGATCTAATAATGGCCTATGTGTATTGTCTATTGGTAACGTAATTATTACAAATTTTCGTGGACTGATTTGTCATATTGTTATCAGATTATGCTGCCGGAAGATCATCTAACCTTCCGGTTTTAGCGCAGGTTGGCCATTTTTGTAAAATCATATACTAAAACTGGTTGAAAATGGAGGTTCGCATTTCTGGTGATTTTTTTCTGCTCGTTTCTTCTTGAGAGATAGTTATTTAAGGCGGGGATTTATTATGGAATATCCGAAAACACTTTCGTATCACGGAGCGCATACCCTTTTCTCCGCGACGGAAAGTTTTTGTATATGCACACTAATAATACTTACAAAAATGGAAATTTCTGAAAGAGCAAAAAATATATTGTATATATATGTATACTTTTATAATGGTAACATGTTTTTTTATGCATCGTATATGCGCGTATTGTATATTGTAATACAGGGCGTGCCGAAATTTTTTGAAAATAATAAGTTTTTAACTAGTAAAAGATTAGAATATTAATTATTTCCGTTAAATACTGTATATATTTATTATATTAAAAAATAATTAAAAATTTTTTTTTGTTATTTACTGTATATTAAAGAAATCGGGTTCCTATTCAAAATTCGACCAAAACCCAAGACATTCCTTGATCTACAAAAAACATATGAAGCTTCTATTTCGGTTACCAACACGAGGACCGATAATGCGAATAACTATTTTTCCTGATCTATGATAATTAGGTTAGCCGCAATTTAAGGGATTCTCACGGCTCTTACCATTTCAAGTAGGCAATCGTGAGATTGTGAACATTAAAATTCAAAGATTTAACGGTCGATGTTCTTTTAAGTAACGGGAAGTATGTCTGAACAAGTAACCATCTCACCCATCGATAACAAACCTTTTGTTGCCGTGCCATTGGCCACTAGCGAACAAGTCGAAGATATAATAGAACGTTCAAAGAAAGCTTTTCTGTCATGGAAGAGGGTTCCTGTCAGAGAACGCGCAACAATCGTTTCAAAATTCGTGGACGCGTTTGTTGCCAAGAAAGCGGAGATCGCAAAAGAGTTGACAATGCAGATGGGCAGGTTAGTCACGCAGAATGCGCTATACTGGTTTTAACGTTCTTAGAGCTGACATATGAGCTTTATCCGTTTATCAACAGGCCCATTAGGTATACCGAGGGTGAAATTAACGGTACAGCTGAGAGAGCCAAGTACATGGTGTCTATCGCAGAAGAGAGTCTCAAGGATGTGGAAATCGAGGATTCCAGTAAACCAGGTTTTCGGAGATTTATTCGAAAAGAGCCATTAGGTAAATTTTCCATAACATGTGCTATTTATTACATTGACATTGTTTTGTTACTAATTTCCCTTCTATGAAATTCTAGGTCCAGTTCTCATCATCGCAGGTAACTATCAGCAACCAAGTTGCAATCATTAACCGCAACACCTAACGCCTCAACCAAATAATATTACTTATAGCTTGGAATTATCCTTATCTAATCTCCGTTAACGGCGTGGTTCCCGCGATTCTTTCGG